CTTGAAAATCTACAAGTATTTTCATGCAGTCATTTCATTTAATCTTTCCAACAACACTTTGAGGCAGATGCGTAAACTGATGCTGAGAACGAGTAAGTGACTTGCCTGGGCTCACAGAATTCGCTGAAAAGCAGAACTGAGATTCAAATCCAGGCCTCCCAAATCTGAAGCCTAGCGCCCTTTCCACTTGTGGAAAGTGGTTTGTACCTGCTGAATTGGCTTGATTTTCTTATCACTTAATTAAAAGGAGCCGTTTTCTCAAGTTGGGTTTACAAGTAGCATTGCTCTGCCTACCTATTTTCGTGGAGGGCGGGTCTCTCTGTCCATCAGCCCGTAAGGTCTATATTGCTCTTTCCTTCATGCTTTGAATCCCTACCCCACCAGTTTTCTTTTCCTGTTATCTCTTCTCAGAGAGCCTTTTCACAAGCTGCTAGCCCAAGGCCTTATCAAGGGGCAGACATTCCGCCTACCATCTGGTCAGTACCTACAGAGAGAGGAAATAGATCTCACAGGTAAGAATGGCCCATCTGGTCCCACCCAGGTATGTGCACAGAACTGAGACCAGGCCTGAGCGCCGCTGGCAAAACATGCGTGTGCCCGGTAAGGCCGGGTGGAGAATCCCGGAGAGGGACCTGTTGGCCTCTTGGCCCGTGAGCCTCAGCTTGCTCTGGGCTGGCGCCCCCTGAAGCTGGGGGCCAGCTCCTNTATGTTTGAGGACCTCTGTGTTTCCTCGTCCATGAGATCCCCGTTTGTGTCCTTTGCCCTTGTTTCTTCTGGGTCATCTTTTATTGATGGTTGGAATTCTTTAATTATTGTGGATGTTAATGCTTTTTTAGCAACATGTATTGCAAATATGTTTTTTTCCCAGTTCTTAGCTTGTCTCATTTGTATGATGTCTTGTGATGAACAGAAACTCTTAATTTAATGTAGTAAATTTTAATAATCTATTATTGCTTTTTAGTGTCTCATCGCATAATGGAACAGCCCATCCATTTCCCCACTGATCTGTGGTGCCCTGTCCATCATAAATCAAGCTTTCATATGTATGCAGGGGCCTATTTATAGCTTTATCCCCACCATTTGTCTATTTGTTTTTTGCAGTGCTAGTTATCTACTGGCTTTGTTATTTTAATTTTACAAGTCTTAATATCCAGTAAGGGAAGTCCTCCTACTTTGTTCTTTTTCTCTGGAGTGTCTCCGCTATGATTGGACCTTTGTTCTTTCATGTAAATTTCAGATTCAGCCTGTCAAATTCCACAGAAATATCTATTGGAGTTTAATTGGAATTGCATTGAATCTACATATTTGCTAATATCTTTTCTCCCTCTTCTTGCTTTTCTGAATCTGAAATCATTTCCCTTTTATTTGAAACATAACTTTAGAATATCTCTTATGTTCTTTAGTGAAGGTCCATCTATTTGTTCTTATTTGTCTAAAATACACGTATTTCAACCTCATTTCTTAGAGTTTGTGGGCTCAATGACACATTTAAAACAGTGTAGTTTTTTATATCGTATCTGTCTTTTCCATTTGTTTTGCATCAGGACAATAATTCAGGCTTG